ATTCGATTACTCTATGCAAACCATAGCAAGGGCCTCCCAACTTCGAGTATATATTTCTCATGTATAGCCACGGCAAATACAGTATAAACATTTGTTGGTCACGCCCACTAAAGGGCGCTTAAATCACAAATATCTAGATCCTTGACAATTTTACAGCTTACTAAAGTATAATTGGTATCTACTTTCGAAAAATCCAGCCACATTTTGGGTCATTTTCATCGCCACAATTCTACATAATTCTATTCTAAGCTTCTTACTGTGCCAACGCTTATTTAAAAATCAAGCAAGCTTTTTCAGCTGATAAATACAGGATATGCCGCAGTCGGTTGCCAACGATTGCAAAGCTTAACTTAATTTGTTCATTTTCAGCACAATCTGAAACAGATTCGCAAGTATATATTTTGTAATTTCAACGACATTATCAGCAAGGCACATAGTGAACCCTCGCTATAATGAAGCTTTCCCAATTATATTCAGCTGATAAATACAGGGTATGCCGCAATCGGTTGCCAGCGATTGCAAGACTTAACTTGATCTGTATAATTTCAGCACAATCTCAAAAAGATTCGCATTTATATATATATTTTTTTTTTCATTTTTACGACATTATTAGCTAGGCGTATAGTGAAGCCTCGCTATGGGGAAGACTAACGAACACAAAAATGAAATTAGGAGAATATTTGTTATATAGAACATGATATCAAATTGAATGCTTTAAATGTTTTACTACTCTTACCAATTAAATAAAAGGAATTGCTAGCGCTTGAGCCTAAGAAAAGTTCGTCTTAACGAAGTAAGCCTGTCGTTATATTTATAACTAATCAGCGCTCGAGCCTTTGCCTATTTCTAAGTATCATTTATGAAAACTTGTTGTCGACTCATGTTTTTTATTTTTTTATGTTGTGTCAAAGGTCATTGGCCGTTTTATGGCTGGCTGCTACAATTGGCAATCCCTTCAAGCTAGGTGCTAGATGCGAGAGGCTCTTCAGCCCTAGGCCCTGCGCAACCACATTATTGGTTTGAGATTTCAAACATAAAATTATAATTTACAACTTTGTTTTTATCTTTTTTCTTATTTTTTCGCGTGTTGTTTCGTGTTGCGCTGTCAAAACATAAAACAACGTGAAGTCTTTTTAAGTTGATTTTTACAGCGCGTAACTTTGCGAACTGCGTAGTTTGTGGATTGAAGAGGACCCAGACCCAGATCCTAAGCCCTGGCCAGGGACGTTTCTGGGGTTCATTGTGCGGCTCGGCAAAAGTAATTTAATTAGCTCTGCTTGTGGCTTTCCAAGATTGCCCCTGCGCGAAATGGGTTTCCGTTTTAATTTTGAAGCGCTTCCTTAAAAGCCTTATGCTTGACTTTTATAATCGAAAGCCCAACTTCAGGTAGTTTAATTACAGATGCGGTGTCTTAATAAAAAAAAAAAAATATATATATATATATATATCTATTCAGTCTGCAGTCTCGACCTATCTATCAGCTCATTTTAATAGATCACAATATCATAAAAGATTGGAAACAGTCGTCGAGAAGATAAGAAAGATAAGAAGTAAAATATCACTCCGAGAAAAACGTTTACTCTAAGTTCTAGTAATGAGGGCAATGGAACATATGCAGTTGTATTCTCAAATATTTCAGGTAATTTCATTCTTCAAATAATTACTAAGCAACAAACAAGCTTCGTTAATAGAAATGCCCGCACATGTAGTTCATAAAGGTTAGAAACCCTTAACATTTTCTCTGATTGATTTGATTTGATATGATTTACATTTTTATACGAGCACGAGCTTCACCTACTTTAGCATGCAAATCTATTTTATTATTATTATTATCGTAACTGTGTCAATTTGACCTTAAATGGTTATCGAACTCGGAAGGCAGCGCCGCTCAGTTGAAAGTGGGACTGAGAGCACGAGTATCCAGCGATATATATAGTCTATATATTCCCATATTGCATAATATCAACAATGCCAACATTGACAGCAGCCGCAATGCAAATGCTCATCATCATCATGATGTTCATTATGAAGTCAACGTCTTGTGGCTGCTGTTGAAGAAATTATTAGTAAGATATGAGAACGTCCAGGCACAGAGTCCTTGTGTTTAGGTTAAGTTGGAGCTTCAATTGAAATATTCTTTTATGTACACAATATATTAAATATTTATTTTGGAACTGTTTGTGTTGTTCTCTTTTCATTTCTCGTAATATTTTGCTTTTATCTAAATTCTTTTAAAATGTCTCACCACAATTTTAGAGCTTTGGTCCCACTGTGCCTTTTTTACCTTGAACTTGAATTATTTTCCAATGCACTGCTTTTCCGTATCTATAGCTACACTGTGGACGCACACACACCCTCATACTTATATATATGTACTTGTGCCGTAATGTATATTTACATTTTTATATGTAAAAACAAACGCACATGGCCCAAGGGTGGCCCCCGGGGGCTGCACAAGCGAAACACAAAATGCAAATACAAGCAGAATGAAAATGTTGAAATAGGGTCTTATTAAGTTAATATATCTGTAAAATAAATGTTAAATATAATTTGTTATTTATAGAAATTCGCGTATATATAAAAATATTAACACAAAATTATTTAAATTGACTTTTGAATTTGTTGTCTTGGGTTTAACGAGCGTGTTACATTCTTGGCAAATATCAAACACATTTTTCCATTTAGCTAAATATATTCTAATATATTGTAATTAAATTATTTTCCAGTTCCTTTTCGTAATGTTCCCACACGCTGAACCACTTAATCCCAAATTAATTCAGCAATGGATTTTTGACACCCACACATTGCCCATTGGGAAGCCGGCCAAAAAGTCGTAATAGCCGACAGATTTTCAAATATTTTTATTATTACTATTGGAATAACAACAACAATCCTTGCCGCAAATAAATTACCTTTTAATAGACAAATTGGCGGTGCCATATTTGAGAACTGCAATGAAAATCTTGCCAAGAAAAATTGCACAATTTAGTGCCACACTTTGCTAGTGTCAATATAAGACACACTCACACATACACATGCACACACACTTGTATTTGATTTTCATTGTTTTTTGATGAGCTTTTTTTATCAGCATGTCAATTTGTTTTCCCTAGACTCAAGCAGTAGAAATTACACGCCACATTATAAGACAATAAAGCACGTAGCTCGTCGTCTGGGCCCTGTTTAGTTCCGGCCAGCTGGTCAGCTCCAGACATTGCCAGAAGCTAGATATATAAATATATATATGTATATATGTAGTGCCTGCTGCAGACACGTCTGACCAATTGGAAATTCATTTTCACACACACTAGACACACATTAAAATTGACAAGATATGAGTGTTTGCTATTTATGTGCTTCTTGTAAATACGCGTGAATTAAAGGGAAAGTAAAAATGTATTTAAGGATTTGGTCGGAAAAGACTTGTGTAGAGAACAGCTATTAATCGGGCCAAGTATTCTTTTAAGCTAAATAAATTGGGGTCTATCGGATAAATAACATCAAAGTTTCAGTATAACAGTTTCATGTACATTTTCCGAACTTGAATGTGGATTATCCAAAATCGATGAAACGCGTTCTCCTTCGTTCTTTAATTATTTTAATTTTTCTCCCAGTTTCTGAATTGATTTCCACATTTTAAAGTGATTTTGACTAGAAGTAAAGAAGATTCACGCAACTCCATTTTTCACAAGCTTTCGACCTTTGAAGGAGAAAGTTTCGAAAAGCTTACGATTTCCAGCTTTAATGAGTTGATCAATCAGTCAATCAATCAGTTTGTACGTATAGATTGATGCACTTTCCAACAGGCATGACATTAAATTGTACTTAGAAATAATATAAAAATACAAATACTGCAAGTACCATCATAAAGAAATTATTTCAAGCGAATGACAAAGTCGAATGAATTGCACTTGCATTTGTTTAGTGCACACACAAACACACACACACACACACACACTCGGACACACAACAGCTGTCTGGGCCAGTTCTCTCGCGTGTGTTCAGAGAACGAACCCCACCTGCATCCATCACCCGTCTTATCTACGACAGTTGGCACGTGTAAGCAATTTTCTATTATAATCGCCCAGCGTATGCAATTTCTCTCTCTCGCGCTCTCGCTCCACACACACACACACTCGCTCTCTCTCTCTCCCTCACAATTTGGCTTGGCAACAAGTGCAAAAAACTGCGCATTGCCTCTAATTTATGCTTGTTTGGACTCTTGAGGGGGCATTTTTTTGTTGGGTGTTTGGCAACTGGTGGAAATAATTTTCATATAACGCATACGCCGCGTTTCACTCACAAGAAATAGTGTCTGAGGCGTTGCAATTGCTTTGCCTAATTTATGGGCAAACAATTCGATAAGCCTCGGGCCAAATTTTGAGTAGTACAACAAATTTACTTATTATGCGATATAATTATGCCATTAATTGTCGGCATTTAGCCATATTTATGTGCGCCCCGCAGCTAACCTATATTTAGAATTGATTTATAACCAAAACTCTTGTCACTTTGCTGGTGTGCATAATTTATTTCTATTTGTTTTTGATTTTTGTAATTGTTTTTAATACTAAGTGCTTACTTGATTTGATTTTTTCCTTAAGCTCGGGCCATATCCTAATCAACTCTCAGCTGGACAGGTTTTTTATTTTCTAATTCGCATATCAAGTTGCCTCACATAAATGATATCATATGACGCTCAATAAATTTCATTTTTATGGCCAGTTTTTAGCCGAGCCAATCTAGTTTTTGGCCGCGTAAATTCATTTGTAGTTGCGCAAGTATTACGAGTACTCATGAATACTCGCATGCCTATGCACACATCCATTCCATGAATGTTTCTGATAACTTTGCTTTATCTAAATATTTGTTGTACAATTTGGAAATGGAACCAAATACGACAATCTACTAATTTAAACTGAATCATCGAGTATTAAATTTATTTATAATTATTTGATTTATGAAATAATACAAAATTGTTTTTATACCCATTTTCACAGCCACAAACACTGCATAAATTATTCGGAACAGACCCCACGCACAGCGCAGATCAAAAGTCCTGCGTTAAAATATTGAAAATTGCAGCAGAGTTTGATGCGAGGGTTGCTGCCACAAATCAATTGCCAGATTGAAGGAGAGTCCTTTAAAGGACAAGGACGCCATATCAACTGATTTATATCACAGTCGCAGCAATTAACGCGAATGTAAAGTGCGGCAATAAAAGAACTGCGAAAAAGGAAACCAAACGAAACAGGATAGAGCAGAATGTAGTAAACAAAACAAACAAATTAGAGTGCGAACGACTGTCAGATACCCTTACTTCTATACCATATTAAGACCCCACACTATGGAAATTTCAGTTGCAAATAACTTTTGTGTTTATTGTACGACATTTATAAAATTTGCAGGATTTGAATTTTAAGGACTTTTGGCAGCACATGATACAAAATATACATTTACCCCTCACATACGTCTGCACATTTACATTATACCCCGTTTGCGTTGGGTACAGGGTATACAAATCAACGTGGCCGTGCGATATATATTTTTGGTGCTTTTCATTCTTAATTTTATGAGCGTCAAACTCATGCTATGCCAAAATGTGGAAAACCTTTCGCACAAATAAACATATGTAAGCATGTTTGTTGTTATTGTTTGTGGCAGTTGTTTTTGTTGTTGTTGTTGTAGAAGTTGAACGTCGTCATCAACGTCAACGGTTTTGGGGCGCTCGTAAAAAGCGCAAAGGAACATTTTACGATGGCACAGTCTAGCAAGCATTTGGCGTCTGTCTATAAGACGAATTACCGCTAAATTCTCAGTCCGTCTCCGCCTCGTAGAGAGCCGTGTCTAAAAAACCCGCAAGTAGAAAATGCTGCTGCCTTAGCCTCGAGGCAATCGAAATCATGTATGAAATTAGTAAGTGAACAGTAGCTAGAAGTTGGCCCAAACACATTAGCTTTGACCGTCGGCCACTTAAGCTGCAGCCAATTGCCAATTGGCCTTAATGGCCGTCCCTGAGACAGAGACTCAAATCTTAATGTACACGGTAGAAAATGTTGGCTCAAATTCAAGTGCATTTTGGTGTTAATAACAATTTCAAAAGTTGTTTGTATTCAATAAAAGTTGTTATTAAAGAAAAAGGCCTGATAAAAATACAGAATAAGTAAAACTACATGATGGGAAGCAGTATAGTTAAGTTATAAAAAGGATAAGGGATTCGAACTGGGGCTTTCTTGTTTTCCAGGCGAGCTCCATTACACTAGACTACAAGTTCTTGTGCCCAACATTGGGCCTAGCTTTGTATGTGAAATGATTAGAGTGAAAAGGACAGAGTATATCAAATTGAAGTTTTAATTTTAATCAGGGAGGAGCTGAGTTCAAATCTTATGAATGTATATCTAATGCTTAAATACAAATAATTTAAAGAAAATGGTTAATTTTTAATTGAAAATTATTTCTCATTTCTAAATCTGGTTAAAGTCGGCCTTAAATTTACTAAAGAAAATGGTTAATTTTTTATTTAAAATTAATTCTAATTTCTAAAACTGATTAAGGTGGAACTTAAATATAAAATAGCTAACAATTTTTCATTGTGTAGAACAGCATTCGCGTTCGCCATCACATTTGCAAACGGTGTCAACCCTAGCGGATAGATAAGCGCCTTAGCGCTGTGCTTATCACACAAGAAAAGGGCAGCCAATAACTTGTGCAACTGTTGATCTTCTGTCTGATAGTTGATAAGGGCACATGTGCATTTGAAAGTGAAAGTCGCTCAACGTGAGCCGTTTGAACAAGTGCCGCGGGCGCAGGGCAAGAAAAATGGTAATGGGCTGTCGCCCAGAAAATTTCAGTCGACAGACGCGCCACAAACTGTTGCCAAATAGAAACAATGCCGAGCCATTTAACTCAGACCGATAACATCCAGAAATCTAATTTTATATAGAGAGGTGTCGGCGGCCCACGCCCAGGAGGTGCTGCTGACTAAAAATAGTAGACTACAGCAATAACATTTGGGCCAATTTGTGGCGTTATTTATGGCAGATTTTGACGCGACCCATGCCAGAAATCTTGACACTTCATTTAGTTCGCCAATCCACGCGCAGAGAAATTCAAACATATTGTTAGATCGGCTACTGAACTTTTTTCTTATACCCTGTACCCAGTGAAATTATATGAGGAATGGGGTATGAGAGTTTTATGCAAATGTATGTCACAAGCAAAAGGAGACATCTTTTAAGCCATAAAGTACATATAATCTATGTATTCTGACAAGTTTCTCAAAGATCGGATAACTTTTAATATTCCCGATACTACTTGAACATCATGTGCAGAAAAAATAGATTCTTTCACCCGAAAACGCACTCCAATTACTTCAAATAAAACAATTAAGGGGTTCTAGTCGGGAGCTCCCGACTAGGGGATACCCTGAACCCTCTTCTTCCAACACAAAATGCAAATATATATACTATTCTAGAAGCTACATGTCAAGTTTGGTGACTCTATCTCTTATTATTTACCAAAATTTCTCAAAAAACAGGATGTCGATATAGATTTTTATCGATTACTTGAAAACGGGGAAAGTTATCGATTATGGGAAACAAACTCGATCTGAGCAGGCACTAGGAGGAGCTACAGCTAAATTTCAAGTCTTTAGCTCTTATAGGTTCTGATATCTTTGCGTTCATACACACGGACAGACGGACGGACGGACGGACGGACGAATGGATTTTTTCATCCGAAGAGTGCGTAATCCATTTAATTAAAAACGGTATAAATTAATTTTAAAAAGTATTAATACTATAAAAAATAGCTAAGAATTAACTAGACAATAATAAGACAAGGACAAGTTTTTCACACTATGGAGCCTACGAGTAGAAGAAGCACAGCTGGTACGGCATTTACAACTTTCCTGCGACCAGAGCAGTTGCACATGTTTCAATGCTCAACTTTGTGAACCGGCGCCAATTAGCTAATATGAAGCTACAAACTGTGCACAATTTATTTGCAAATACATAAAAAATAGCACATTTTGTATTATATTTGAAAAATATATAATACAAGCTATACTATATATAACTATTTTTATGGCTGAAAAGTGGGCACCTGCCTGACGCAGTAAAGCAATAAAACGCTCAGATTTATGGCTTGGCTAAAGGTGAAATAATATTATAAATAGTATATATTATTTATATTTATTCATATTTATTTCGGCTCTTTTTGGAATTGAGCTGAAATTGTTATTATTATGATTTGCCTTTGATATTTTATCAGGCGCCGACAGAGCTGCCAACATTGTGTGTGAGTGTGTGTGTGTGTGAGAGCTCACAAGCGAGTTGGCATGCCCGGCACGTGTAATCCATAAACAGTTGACGTAGTCCTCGCGCGTGCTGAAAAAAGCACACACACAAGTAAAGGGGCTTGGAATGGGAGGGCGCACCTCTCTCTACATGCGAGTACACTGAGCAAAATGTAGCTGTATGGACTAACTAAATATGTTGCCTTACGTTTTTCAATAAGAAACCACACTTTTCACATTTGTCAAAAATGTTGGTATTCGCCCCGAATACTTCGCTTTTTTGCAATAAATTATTGAATTTCGTATCTATGTTATGAAAAATATAAAATACAAAAATATATATCTTACTGACAACTGTCAATTGCTAATGGAATCCCAGAATGTGAAGTTTGTAAATGTAAATGGAATCAGGCTATATATATATATATATATATATATATATATATATATATATATATATAGCTCATTGTATAAAATAATAGAGTTGCATTTCTCAGATTTTCAATTTTCAGCTCTTTCATAGCATAAACATTCAATTCTCTTTCAAAGATATTTGTAAAGATTTGTTAGGAGCCAAGATGGGAATTCGCTGCTTTTCTATTTTTAAGGGTATACAAAATAAATGAAAATGACGAACTATAATTGACATTTCATTTTCTTTTTAAGTGTATACAATTCCAATACGTATAAGCTTATGTACGTCTGTGGTAGCAACAGTTTGCCAGTGCCGGCAAGTGGCAAATGTCTCGGCTGATGATGGCTATTTCCAGGTTGCCGTCTGGTTTGCCCTGTCATCGTTTCTGGGGCTCGGAAACTGTTTGTTTAGCTTCAATTGCATTGATGGCACGACCTTGAGACTAAATTGCAACAAGCTAATATAAACGAATCCCGTTTCAGAGCCCTTTAGAGTGCACATGGTTTGGCTCAAATGAACTATTTAATATTATTATCTAAAATTATAATTATGAATATAATCTATATAATCTATAGACTGGACTGAAAAGTAAAGCCGGATCTTCGGATCACGTATACAACTTATCTAACGCGGACTACTTATTGGTTTTAAATGCTGCAGTTAAATGCCAAAAATTAAACTAATAAAGCTTTGGTGCACTTACATTTCGTATTCGCTAATATACCCCATTTTGTTAAATAGAGAAAATTGATGTGTGTGGGCCACTATATAAATAATATTAAATTTAGCCATAAAACCAGTTGCCAAAATATTTCTATATGAAAAACAACATTGAATTGTTGCCATATGGTACCCAGCAACTAAATAGGAGATTAACAACTCTTCAATACTCTTCTTTCATTAAAGAAATGTTTACTTCTTGAATCCTCAAATTACTCCATGTTGTCAGAACTCTCATATAGAGATTCCTCTAAGTATTCTAGACATTCTATTCTATTATCTACACCAATTGCCAGTTGATTCTCTTTTACATAACCTTCTGTACAATGTATTTATTTTAATAGAAAAGTAAAAGAAAAATATTACTTTTTTATATACATACCCTGCACTTAGAGTCAGACAGTTGATAAGCGCTAAGCCTAGGGAACAATGAAATTGATAACAGAATAATGGCGGAGTAATGAAAACGGAATCGCTACCCTAACAAAAGTTAATCAGCTGCTGCTTGAAGCTGTCACAAGAGAGTCAAACAGAACATTGTCTAATCTTGGCTAATTAATACACTAACATTACTCGGGGCATATGCAAAGTAGAGTCAAAAATTTAAGTTCAAATACAAATTTCAACAAAAAAATAATAATTTTCCGACCGTAAAAGCAAATTGACAGCGCAAGCTTGTTATTTTCGATAGTAAAAAAAACTAGAAATGCGAAAGGGCTATGAGTAGGGGCAGGTGTTGAGTTAGGGTGAGATAGGTGTGTGTTTGTGTGTATGTGAGTTTGGCTGGCACGAGCAGCACCCAAAGCATTACACAAGTTCAAGTGAATTACGACGACAAGGAGATGACGGCGATTACGAAAATGACAATGGCAGAGAGAGAGAAACGTTGACGAAGACGGGCACGCAGATAGACAGACAAGAGCTGGTGTATTTTTTAAGTTTATACTATATATAAGTCGTAAAGTTGCTGGTAAATTACAAACGTTTTAATTTTGAGATTAAAACTGCTTTCGTGCCAAGCTTAACAAGCTTAACTTGGCTAAAAGCAGCTAAAGGATAAGCATTGCCAACTTCCGTCTTCCGCCTTCTGGCTGGCAAGGATGCGTGACATCCTCGGTCCCATACCGCAATCCATCATAAAAGCGCTCCATGCGACATGCAGTTTTATTAGCGTTTACTGCATTTCCTGACGAATGCGCAAAGACTGACGCCGAGGGGCAGTGTGGATAGGTATTTCCACAGAAATGGGGCACAGTGCTTTGGTGCAAACGAGCTACGACACAGGTGAAGGTAAAGCCAAGTTAAGCGTTAGTGGCTGCTAGATTTAGTGCATGCCAATGAATACCAAATAGAAAAACCAGCAGATCCCTTGCTTATCGACCAAGTGGATACCAAAGAGCTTTACACCAGTTGAATAAATGACTATAAAGCTGAAAAGCAGTCGACTTTTACACCGACTAGCTCAAGTCGCAGTCTTCCTGTCTGACACAATTTAATTGATGTATATGTATTTCTGACTAGATTTGTTACAGAGGCACAAAGTTGCCACAAAAAGAAAAGAGCGTAGCAGGATGTTGTTAGACTTAAGGAAATTATGCCGTTTCATTTAAATTCAAGCTTGAGAACACCAGCTAAAAAGAATAAATTGACAAAGGGTCGATCAAGGTCTCCTACATCAACGTGTAACACCGCGCCCCAAATCGTCGTTGTCTTAACATTACTAGTTATTATTTAAAGGATGCTTTTACCCAAATGAGTCAGTAAGTACATCAGTCCGTCTGTTAGTCAATCAGTGAGTTAGTCTATTAGTATATACATCCGTCAGTCATGCATCCAATCAGTCAATCAATCAGGCAGACACATTAAATCAGTCAATCAGTCAGGCGGTCAATCATTGAGTCAGTCAATCAGACAGTCACTTGGTAAATCAGTCAGTCTGTCAGTAATTAAATTAGTCG